TTAAGAGTGATCGCACTTTTATAAATTAGGTCATTAATCACGCATTTTTGATAACAATCTTTTAAAATCGCTTTCTTTCTCTGCCCACTAATGCCATTAATTACACAAAATATTTAACTGTTATGTACAAATAAAAGGTAAAAAACCAAATTCGGACTTCTGTTTCACATTTTGTTTTAAATAACTTGAATCTGTCCTATTACGAACCCGTTGATTTCACAGTGATTCGAGTTCATGCATCGCGAGTTTAAACTTATTTGCATCATCTCGGTTGCCTCTGTGGATGGAAATCCGAAAAGCTTACAACTTTTTGCTTTCTGAGTGTTGCAGTTTTAATTATCAGTTCTCAAATGGCAGCTCAATTCTTATGGCGCCGGGCATGGTCCGTAACTCTCTTTTCCCACATATCTTAGATTTGTTATTCGAATGCCCTTGTCGGGCTATGTGGTATAACCACAGCCTCGTAGTTGACACACTACGAGCATGCGACTTCCCTATTGTAGTAGGACGCCTCAATACTTCCCCTTTTTACATGCAAGACGCCGTAATATACGATGAGGAATTTTACATTTTGATACTTCCACTTCAAGGAGGCGGTTGTACCTGGTATTAGCTAGGTTTACCGTTTTCATTCAAAATGCAATTAAATACATGTCTTCTACCATTTGACTTGTCTTCGCCCTTTGGGAAGCTGTCGGTGATTTTGATGCGATTATATAATGTGGCTGCTTGGACTTCCAGGAGATAGTGCGCACCTCTACATTGAATGATTATCGCCTTTTGGCTGGGTCGAGTGTCCACCTGTGGGTGCATTACAACTTGCTGAAGCGGTTTCTAGGCCTCTAGTTACAGGTGAGGGAGCAGAGGAAAGAGAGACGTACTCGCACAGAAATCTGACCTGATTGACGATCCGTGAGTGCTCCTTTTGCACGACCTGCATTCGAACGGCAAAATTTAGGCTTTTCTGCCTTGGACTAGCCGAATAGAAAAGTTCAGCACAAGGCCTGAATTTTGCAGAGAAAGGGTGGGGTGCGTATTTTGAGGGGCAATGTTGGCACTCTACTACAATTCACGGCGCGTTATGGTTGTAGAAATTAATTAAGATAATGTCATTAAAGAGAAAAGCTTCTTCACTTTGATTGGAAATTAACCATGGTCGACTAAGCAGGTTGGCTAAATCGCTCGTTTGCCCATTATTTCTTTCTCCTTCTACGGGTATTGATACAAATTACTTCATTTCAGTCGTGCCTATTTACACACACAGACCCTACCTTTTACGAGGATGACAACGTTTGTTTAGTATGCACGATCTGATCTGCTATCTCAGCAAGCTAAGCTGCTTGCTAAGCTCTGCTTGCTTATAAGTATAATATTGCAGTAGGGTTTAAACGTCACCATAAAGAGACCACAACTCGTTTTACTGATTGAGGCTGCTCCTGTACCTCCATCACTGACTACTTATAATCTGTCTGCCTCATGACATAGAGGATGCAAAATTAAATATTTGGCTAATTTAACATTCTGCTAACAGCCTTCTTACTTTTAGTGTTTCCGTGGACAATAACTATCGTTTTTTGGAAGGTTTAAAACTCGTGCAAATGCAATCTTGAAATATAGAGTTATGAATCGGCTTTCGTTTAAGGGAGTATTTCGGACCACTGTCGTTATTGTAGCTACTAATGACTTTCCTGAAATGGGGAAGTTTCAAACTTACTTCAAAAAAATAATTATTGGAATGCAAAACAAACACTCAATACCTAAAATGGTGCTGTCAAATTCGATCCAATGATCTGATCGGAATAATTTAGCATTTATTTTCCTCAAGGTGACGACCTCAAAATTAATATTTGATGCGATAACTTGCATAGTTGTGGTGGTTCTTTGGCATTTTCTTGTCATTTTATCAAGATTTAGTAAGTTAATGACCGTTGTGGTCTCACTCAATGAACAAAATTAATTTGTATAACGGCCTTTTACCATGCGCCATCAACTGTTGCGGACAAATTCATGCAAAAGTAAAATCTTTTGAGGGGTGGCCCTCATAAGAATGCAACATGCGATTATTTAACCACTGTGTGAGATTTCAGTTGGGTTTTACGCTAACAATTGTAACAGTTGTGTGTTTACAGAGAATATAACATTTATTTCGACGTTGTGACTTCCGGTGCAAATAAGTTGATGACATTTGGAAGTTGCTAAGCCTCTTGTACACAAGTCCAGTGATGATTTTGATATAAATCAAAGACTCACTCGACGGACGATGGATTATAAGGACGGTTCCATCTAAATTTGAAAGTCATCAATATCAAAGAATGGTCAAATTGGGCTGTAGCTGAGCTGGATTTCAGCATATCGCTTCGGCTGGTGATGAAAGAAGAGTTGTTGACTAACAAAGAAATTGACAAGGACGGAGAAAGACTACATTCTTAAAACTTCACCGCCGATATCTGATACGATTTGTTACTTCTAGATAGCATACACATCCATTAAGAAGGTGTACCAGCCTAGCCAAACCTCCGACTAAGCTAAGAAACAAGATCCAAATGTTGTTATTTGCTTATTTTAGGTATATTATGCAATTATATATAAAACACTATTGTTTTGTTCAGAATCGTGCCATAGACCGGCTAAGAAGAGTTATGAAGGTTAGATAGAGACCAACCTTAAAGGGATCAGCAATGTAACCAAGAAATTAAGTGCCATATCGAATGAAATAAATGGTTGAAAGGGGGTGCATAAAAAAGTCCTTTAAAACAGTGAAGAACATTTTTGTCAATTGTAAACTTATTATCCTTGCAGATGGATAATCATCAGCCAAATTTTAGTACAAGTCATGGGAAGGCTCGCAGACGTCCCCGTATGACATGATTTTGTGCTCCTGAGTCGGAATACTAATTTACAGACAATACTGTCGAATACATTCAGTGTTATGCAGGGTAAAATACACGTAGAAGGCCCTTGAAATAGCGAAAAATGACAAATTAAGGTGTGGATGGTGTAGAAACTTTGGCAAGGATTACAGTGATAAGGGCAGTTCGG